ATTGACCAAGCCTACAATACAATCCTCCATAAAGACCTTATCGGATCAATCGGATTGTATACATTACGAATATCTCCGAATACCCGAAAATTGGTTATGTGGGATAAATTGAGAAACACAGAGTGATTCCCATATTGATAGATGAAGAAAAAAGACCAAGCTCATAGATTGAGATAAATCCTTTCTAAGGAAGGTCTTCCAAATGATTATTCTAAGTATTTCTTGAAAGATTTCAAACAATTTTCTCCGATATATCCTTTCAAAAAGAATTTGATTGTTTAAATGCATTGACACAAGGAATGCATGTTTACAAATCAAAGTCACCTGAATTTCAAAATAGTTTGCGGTTAACTAAAAACCACGTTCATCAGTTTTTGGTAAACATAAAACCAAATTTTCGAACAGTTTTTTATCAACTTAAAACCAAAATTTTTAAACTACTTTGTGGCAAACTTAAAACCACGTTTCACCCAATAGTTTATGGTCAACTAAAAACCATACAAGGGTTAGTGGATCCTTAAAACCACATGATTCATGGTCAACCTAAAACCATAAGGCAATCATTGTTTGAGCTTTTTCAAGACTTGCTAGCGAGAACCCACAAGGCAAATCACCAAATCCTTGGGCGAGGAGCCTCATGTACTCATTGTTTGAGTCTTTTCAAGACCTATTGGCGAGGACCCACCAGGCAAATTACCAAATCCTCGAGCGAGGAACCTCAGGTAATCACGGTTCTGGATCTTTTCTTAAAGCCTGACTTTACAAAGGTTTTGTGGGATTATCCTTAAACCACATTTTCAAATAGGTATTCCAAAGCAAATTACAAGTTGTAACCTTGGAGTTATTACCCTCCGCAAGTCATCGCGGCTTGTAGCTTTGAATATTGTGATTATAATAGTCTTTTCAAGTGTACGCAGGTTTGTAGCTTCGGAGCTATCACCCTCTGCAAGTGATCGCAGCCTATAGCCTTGGATGACTTTTTGGCCCGTCAAGTATAGTGGCCTTTTTATAGTCCTTCTGCAAGTGATCACGGATTAGCAGCCTTGGGATTCCCCGCAAGTGATCGCAATCCGTAGCCTCATAAGACTATCTCATATGGTTAACCACAAGGTTAGTGGAACCACAAAACCACATGGTTAGTGGATGTATCCATAAACCATAGGGTTTCGTGGGTGTATCCTTTAATCACGAGATCATAATTTAATTCATCACAATCATTACCATCATCAATTCACACTTTGAGATAATCAGCAAAGAAGCTCTCGCAAACAGGTAAGTTTCTCTTTCCCTCAATTACTAAAAAATTTCTCAAATGCGCCAAAAGTGAAAAATTGGATTGGGTCAAGAACTTTAAAGCAAGATCCCTAATTAGTTTTTGTGAACTTTTCATTTATTTTGTCAATTGAGTCAACTAAACACTCAGTTGTCACCTTATCTTTGAGATCAACCTCTGACGAGTTTAATTTCAAAGAGAGGCAGCTATTGACACCCGATTTTTTGCTTATTTTTCAAATTTTCCTAAAAATCACAAAATTAGGATTAGGAACCTTGGCCAAGCTTAGGAACCTACTTCTAAATCAAAAATAATTTTTTTAGAATTTTCATGAATTTTTCCTTATTTTCTTTTGGCCAAAATGAGTGAAAAATCAAGAAAAATAACTAATGGAACTAAAAATTTACATAAAATTATCCATTAGTCTTCTTTTAAATCCAATTTCATCGCTACAACTTCAATTTTGGAAAATTTCAATTGGGGATATGTTTTTTCCCAAAATTGGGTAAATTCACACCCAAATTGAACCAAAAATTCAATTGAGTCATTTTTAGTCTATAGTGTCTTCACAAAAAATGATTCAGGGACCTTGAATTGCATATTTGTCTGTCCAATTTTACAATTTAACAAGAAAATTGAAAGCCCCAAAAATCAATTTGAAAATTAGGATTTTTAAGCCCAAATTGGGAATCTTGTTCAATTCGAAATTTTCGTACCAGGACCACACCATTCTTAGGGTTCACAAGTCATGGGTAATCCAATTTTGGCATCAATTTTTCCTAATTAGTTCACTTGGATACTGAATTGAACAAAAAACCCTAGCGATCCGAATTCAAAATTTGGAAATTTTGGGTTTAATTGTGGCAAAAATTAGGACAAATCCCATATTTTGATGCAAAATGTGTTGAGGAATCCAATTTTGGGATTAAATCTACAAAATTGGGCTTAATTCGCAAATTTGGACCAAACCGGGCCTACTGGGTCTGTCGGATCGACCCGACCCGACCCGACCCGATCAGCCTTCTCCTTCACCCAATCAGCTCGCCCGCGAAGGAGAAGAGAAAATATCTTCCTGGCTCGCCTCTTCGCCGACTTAGCTAGGCTAATCCAGCACGTGATGAACGAGTTGGACAGCTGGAGAAACTCCAGCTGTCCAACCTGATCCATTCTAACAGACTGGGAAGTCAGTTAGAGGTGGGAGCTGCCCCAGTGAGGGCCACAAAAAGGTGGGAAAGTTATTCCAAAAGCACAGAACCTGCTCGATGATTTTACAGAGAGAGAGAGAGAGAGAGAGAGAGAGAGAGAGAGAGTTAGAGAGAGAGAAAGATAGTAGAATCAAAGAGAGAGAGAGAGAGAGAGAGAGAGAGAGAGAGGAGTTGAGATCCCCAGATCGAGTGATCAGCACCGATCGATTGAATGGCGCCGGCAAATCGATCGCACAGGGAAGATCTGTGATATTCTGAAATTTTACCCACTTGGGATTTATGAAATGGATAATTTTATAGACGTACTTGTAGTTAGATCTCGCTCGGAACTGATCACTCCTGGGATACTAACCGTTAGGGAAAGGCTAATTAGGGATTTAAATTTGCGAGACCAAAGAAACTCGATCGTGAACCGACTTTCGATCATAGAAATTATCAAGGTGACATTTTGAGCCAATGTAGGCCGATCTAAGGATAGCTAGGGATCAATTCGTCGCTGTGCATCACGGGTGATTCCGTTTGACCACGAGATGAATTGACGAATGACCCTGAACCTACACCAAAGATCGCGCCCGTCGGAACTAGCGATCGATCCTCGCGATTACATGACAACCGAGGTCATCACGATCCGAGTAAGTTTAAACGTGGCTTGATTTAGTATCGGTCATGGGTTGAATATGCGAATTTCCCCAAAAGCCACCCGTTAGTCTGAGATACGCTCAAGTTACGTTATTTAAAATTTAGTCGTTAATTAGAGACCAAGTTGGGCATTGGAAATTTGGAAAGTCACGACAGAACATTTGGACGACGTTGTTATTGGCATGATCAGCCTTAGAATTATCCGAATCCTTCAGAAAAATCGAATTTCGACGAGAAATGGAAAATGACCGTTTTACCCTTGGGACTTTGTTAAGGCCAAGTGTAAATGGAGAAGGGCATTTTGGTCATTTCACCCTCACTTTAGAAATGACAATTTTTGGACAATTTTGCCCTTGGACTTTTTGTGAAATTCCCATTTTACCCTTGGATATTTTTGGAAAAGATTCGATCTCGGCCGTTGATCTCAAGATAAGAATGAATCGTGGCCGTCGATTGGAAAGTAGAGAGAGGGGCAAGATGGTCATTTTGCCAAAAGGGGGACAATTATTGGTATATTAAGCCATTTTCTCTCTCACCCTCTCATTTCTCCCTCTCTCTCTCAGCGTCCGCCCCATCCCGCCGCTGGCATCGGCTTGCCGCAGCCGCACCCCCACCCTCACGCCGCCGTCTCTCTCTCTCCCTCTCGGTCGATCTCTCTCTCCCTCCCGTGGCCGTGACCGTGGCCAACCGGCCAAAGCTGCCGCCGTCGCCGTCTCGCCGGACCGCCGTAGTCGCCGTTTAGCCGCCGTGTGACCGCCGGCTCGCCACCCTCTTTCTCTTACTTGGACGCGCTTAGGATTTCAAGTAAGTTACAATCTAAACCCTATTTAGAATATCGGGTATTAACGGACTCGTTTAGACGCGGTTTAGTGTAGTTTAGGGGCTGATTTGGATGAGGGGCCTTAGGGATGAAATTGTGGCATTTTGGGGGAAAATTAGAGGCCAAATAAGGGCTGAGAATGATTGGTTTGAATGCTGGAAAATTCTGTTTGGCGCGTGGAATGGATAGTTTGATTCGGCAATTAATTGCGTGAAATTGCCGTGTAACGCCGTGATTGTTGTGCCATGATTTTTGTGGTGAAAAATAGCGTACTATATGATGGTTGTATGTATGTATGTGGGCTGAATTGTGACGGTCGATCTGAGTGCGCTTGAGTGCATGTACTTAATGCCCGAGTATGTGAATGTGTGAGATTTGAGGCGTGCGATGTGCGTGTGATCACTAAAAAGCCCTTAGGCGTGTTTACGCAGGGTATAGATAAATACGGCGTGTTGGCATATTCGCGTGATCACTAAATCCCTGAGGCTTGTTTACGCTGCGAATTGAACCGGCCTGAGGCGTGTTTACGCGGGTCGTGATACGACTGTGAAGCCTGAGGCGTGTTTACGCGGGTCGCGATAAGAATGTGTAGCCTGAGGCGTGTTTACGCGGGCTGTGGAAAGAGAATGAGAATGAGATGTGTGTTGTGGCAAGTGAAAGTGAGATCGGACCTGAGGCGTGTTTACGTGGATCGTTGGCAAGTTAAATGAAAATGGTGTGGTAGTGCATGAATGAGTGTGAAATGTGGAGTTCAGAAATGTCACGTGTACGACATGTGCTTTTGGGCATGAGAATAGCTTGGAATGTGCATGTGGTTTGTAATTCGTGTATTTGAGACTAATGTGCAGGTCGAGCCCAGGTAAGTGCATTTGTGTGTGTGATATGTATGTATTGAATGATTGTGTGTTTGGACCTGTCTGGAGATACGTGGTAGCTTAAGTGGGGTTTAGGCTGTCAACTTATTGAGATTCGTCTCATGATTGTTTAATCAAATCATTTCAGAACCCTGCCCTGAACCATGAATCCGCCGCCGCCGCCGCCGCCCCAGCGTTTTGGTATACCGATGCACACCGAGCATTCAGTTGTAGAGTATCCGGTAGACGACAATATGGCTTGGATCAAACATACGACCGTAGTCTGGGTAGACATAGGGCAACCCCTCTGGCAAGCCCACACCTATACTGCCTGGTGTTTTAGGGATGGGTTTGATGAGTTTGGCCATGTCCGAGGTTTTGATGTCCCCTTTGATGGAGTGGGGGACTGGGACCCGTCAGCTATACCCCCTCCCGATGGCGAGATGACTAGCTTAGACACTAGTCTCGCATAGTCAGGGCATCAGCATGTTCCTGCAGCACCCGAGCCTCCAGTGGCGGAGCCGGATTCGGAGCCGGAGGAGTCGCAGGCCGAATACGACCCGATGGATGTGGACTTAGATGTAGAGTCGGAGGAGGAACCTATAGAAGAGCCGCCCGAAGAGGAGCATGAGGAGGCCCCGGAGAAGGAACCCGAAGAGGAGTATGAGGAGGCCCCGGAGGAGGAACCCAAAGAGGAGTATGAGGAGGCACCAGAGGAGGAACCAGAAGCAGAGTCAGAGGAGGAACCAGGAGAGGAGTATAAGGAGAATTTGGAGGAGGAGTCTGAATCAAAGGAACGGATTGAGGTGCCATTAGAGTCGGGGGATGAGGATAACCCGATCGTGATCGAGGCAGACTCTGAGACTTCAGAGGAGCACGTGTCTCAGGAGGACTCAGATTCGGATTCTGGGGAGACCGAATCGGAATGGACGCCGTCTACTGGGCGTAGGGGCTAGACTAGGGGTACCCAAGCCTTTTGAAGTGTCCCATTTTTGGAAATAGAATATACCCAGACTACTAACCTTTTTGGAGTTGATGACGCGATCCATAGAAGCCAGTTTGTATGTGTATCATAGTTTGATGTAAATTTGGTGAGTGCACGAAGCGACTAGTGGTTGTGTAATGGATGAGAATGGATATTGTATATATATCGAGGTGTAATGTTATGTTTGGTGGCTTGGTGAATTATCTCTCCCTATTACCCCATGATTTTACTGTCAGGGTTTATGTTCTTGTTTTCGTCGTGTGCAAACTCTGATGTGATCGTTTGGGTCGGCGACGTTTCCTGGGACGTCGCACTAATTCGATCAAAGAGGGATGTCGCGAGCTCGATAGGGTTCGGGGCGTGATAAGATCTCCTCCTCAGGTGGTCAGTACGAGGCTAGTTGAGTAGCATTGAAAATCGATCCCGGCCGGCGAATCCCGGAGTTCTCCGATGGAACCAAGGCCATAAACTTGAAGATCAAGTGTCAGGGAACCGCGTCACGTCTGCTGATTAGCTCGGAGACTCCTATTTACCCTCCGTCGAAGCAGGTAATGTTTGATCTTCATCACGGTTTTCCAGAATCTCAGAAAATGAGATTGAGCTTGATATTATTAATCATGCAATTTCTTTGGTGATTCCGAGTTCCTTGATGTCTAAAACAAGTTTCTTATCACGTTTTTATGGTTTGATTGCATTTTGATTGGTTAAATCTGCATGAATCGAGTCGGTCATCATTAAACCCCCTCGCCAGAGCTCGGAGATCCTCACCGGAGAGCCTCCCGTGGCCATTGGCCACCCAAGTTAGTCATCATTGACTTTGTTTGATGATTTTATGCTCATTTTGAACGATTTAGACGGCTAGGGTGATCTGTATGATGATCTGAAGGCTTGAACAGCTTGTTTTGGATAAGTTTGCAAGTTAGAGTTTTTAGAATCGTTTTTTCGCTGGCCGACGGTGGTCCGGCGGAGAATCAGTAGGCTAAGGTTGATATGGGGTGATGTATACTCTACTTAGAACTCAAAAGAACAGCAGAAAACTCGCCGGAAGGTCGTCGGCGATGAGTTCAAATCGGCAGCCTCAAGAACTCTTAACTCAGTTTCATGCCCGCCACCTATTCGGCATAATACCGAAGAGAAAAAGAGGCCAAACGGCGTTGTTTCGGTGTTGTGCCCGCCGGGGAGATAGCCGGTACCGGTGCCGACCAGTTTGACTCAGTCAGACCGGTCTGAACCGGCTCAACCCGGTTCAATCCCTTGGCAGAAAAATTTTAAAAAAATCAAAATAAATAAAAAAAATAGAAAAATTCAGAAAAATATAAAAAAAAAGAAAAATTAGAAAAATCCTAAAAAATCAGAAAATCCAGAAAATCTTAAAAAAAAATTAGAACATTCAGAAAATGTAAAAAAAAAAAAAAGGTTTTCGGGAAAGAGGAAATTCTCAGAAAAACTTTTCCCAAAAATAAAAATAAATTAATTAAAAAAAATAAAAAATAAAATAAAAACTTTCCAATAAAATAAAAAAATAATAATTTCTCTGGAAAAGAAATTTTCAAGAAAATTTTTCCGAAAATAAATAAAAGAATTCAAAAATTCACAAAATGGCTTAGAAACCTTGTGACCACCCATTTTGAGTGAAATTGAATTTTTTTGAGATGTCCAAGTGGTATTTTTGAAGAATCCTCACTTTAGAAATAAAAGGGGTCTTAACCCCTATAAAACCCAAAATTACACAATTCATTAAATGAATAAGCCATTAGAGGGCTTTAATAGGTTTTTGGTGTTTTGATTGATTTTCATTTTAGAGACCATTTTAGGATTGTTTTGTGTGATTGAAATTGATTGTGCATTTAATCATTGATTGATTGATTTTTCCCGATTAGAATTGTTAGAATTAGTAAATAGGCCTTGCGAACTTGCGTGACACGTTAGACACTTCGTATTGTTTTAGGTACCGAAAGGACGTTAGGGATTTCAATTTGGGATCATTAGCGTAACCAAGTCCCCGTACCCATGGAATCTCTGGTTTGCAGAATCGTGATATTTCTCCCGTATCTCGATTAGGTTTCTAGTCAACCTACCAATAATGACTAGTGGCAACTCCAAATCAAAACGTAAGTTAAATAAAAAAGATTAGAAAACAAATACCCACTGTCTCATGAGGTATGGTCTGGGAGAGACCCTCATGATGAGATATCTGTGAGACGTTTGGCCGAAATATCCGTTTCGGACCTTAGTAGCTTATTCGGGGGCAGTTTCCTCAATTGTGACAAACAAAAGTACCTCCATAGGCTCGTGGAAAAGGCATGACGCAACAATCAAGATGGAGCAATTAGGATGACGGAGCCACCAGCAGATGTCTACTTGAAGAACAAGCGAAATGTGACCACAAAGTTCAAAATTAGCAAAGCAATTGAGATTGGGTTTAATATCTTAAAAAACCTCAAACTTTAACTTTTGTCTCAATTTTACCTTTTGTCTCATAAAAAACCTTCAACTTAGACATGTCTCAATTCTAGCATAAACTTTTTTTTGTTCCATAAAAAACTCTCAATTTTAAGTCCAGTCCCAATTCTACCATAAACTTTTTTTTTCTCATAAAAAACCCTCAACTTTAGATCCAATACCAATTCTACCCTAAACTTTTTTTTTGTCTCATAAAAAAATATCAACTTTAGATCCAGTTTCAATCACTCTAATATTTTTGACTAAAAAAAATCACCAACTTTTATTTGAATCCCAAATCTGCTCTTCAATAACCCTCCGTCAAAATCACCCCTCATCAATCTCTCGCGGTCGGAGGGCTCACGCTTAGGATGCTTGACTGCACATGCTCAAGAGTTTTCCATCTCTCAGTTGTCAACAAGAAATTTTGGACCAAAGGTTAATGGGGGCGGATTTGTGACTCGAGTAAAAGTTTGTGATTTTTTATGAGACTGTAAAATTTTTTGGGTAAACTTGGCACTGGACAATAAAATTGGGAAAAAACCTAAAGTTTGGGGTCTTTCATAGGACAAAAGAAATTTTGAGTTAGAATTGGGACTGCACCTAAAGTTGGAGGTTTTTTATAAGACAAAAGGTAAAATTTGGACAAAAGCTAAAATTGGAAGTTTTTTAGGGTATTAGGCCGTTGAGATCGAGGAGAAATGAGATGACACTTTTGAAGGGAACAATTTTTGCTTGAAGATAGGTTCATGAAAAAGTCAATAACCATTGAAGACAAGATCACGGGGCAGTTATCATGTAGTATGACAAAAGCAACGACTTAAAAGCATAACTATAGCATCATGAACGCATGGACAACGAACTTTCAGGAATGGAGGAACATGAAGGCCATCGATAGAAACCGCTTAAGGAAATGCAACTGCTGGAAACCGTCGAAAGGCGACTACCACTGTATCATTATAAATACCACTAGATAGCCAACTAGAGACCCCCGCACACAAATCGAACAATTTACTATCTTTTCTTTATTTTCCTGCACTTTACTTTATTTTCTTAGTTGTAGCTTTCTGATTCGTGTTATTGATTAAATTCTGGCGTGCAATCTCTATTTTGGGTGCTGTGTCATCGATTAAATTCTGACGTAATGTCTTAGTTTGTGTTATCAACCTATGTTGTCAATTCAATTCCAGTATAATTTATTAACATATGGTTATGTCATCAAGTCTTTATTTTCCAAGTCTTGTCGTCAGTTAAATTCTGGCAAGGTTTGCGTCTGTACAGTCCTATTACGTATAAAGTTGTCGATTCCTTCAGTTACTTGGATATTTCCTATCTAGAGTCACCACATGATCCTGATCTCCTTTAATTAATAATCGAAGAATTACTTTCAGTGAAAAATATCTCGTCATGAGAGAAATTTCGGCGAAACAGTAGCAAAGGAACCAAGCAAGCCCACCCCAATGCGCCTCAAACCTTATTATGGCAAAACCCTGTTACTATACCCATGAGCTATAAAGTTCGAGATTAATTGATCAAAGCCATTGCATGAGTGAAAGATAATCCTCTCATGTTCTTATGTCTTTCGAACATGATGATCCTATGACTCTTCCCATCTTCCCTTTAGTTTAGACAAAAATAAAAAGAGGCAAGTCAATATTGTCACTCCCCCTCCTCAAGACTCGATCGACTCATTTTTGCATGTACTTGTCATTACTAATGGCTTTAGTGACTCGTTCAACGCTTTCTTGACCAATAAGACTGGTCGAACAATAGCTCTGACTCCGTTTTTTAATGTCACCTGCCTACTGCTCAGCCACTGCTTTGCCCTCAGAGGAATTTTGAAATTCGGGGTGAGAGAGAAAGAAAACACTAAACTGTCTTACTAGTCCCTACGATGACAAGGGTTCATGTGAAGATTGGGAAATTAAAAACGAAATAAAGAATCAAGAGTTCGACTCAATAAGCACGTCATACTCCACGGGCACTAAATCGAAATTGGGCATTTGCCTAACCCCCAACAGGAAATCAATCAAAACTTGAATCTTGAGCAGCTTTGTCCATGTAGGTCTAAAACTTGTTCAAACCCTCCCAACACAACAGACAACAATGGAGTGATCCCATCGGGCCTATTAAGAAGCCATTTAAGGCAAATGATCCGGTTTAATCACATAATATTGATTGCCATACTGGGAAATAATACCACAAAACCTAATTCATTTTTTCCGGCCTTAACTTTGTGTAGTCTACTCATCCAAATGTGAAATGCATATCAATTTTGTCTCGATTCGATTCATGCTGGACATAAAACGATTACGATCCAACCGAATGTCGCAAAATCATGGAAGGGAACCTATTTACTAATTATTCGATTTCTTGCAAATTCCCTAATCTAACGTGGATGGCCTGCTTTGATCATACGTGAGATGTGGACTTACTTTAATGCACAAAAGGTAGCTCATGATGTGTACCGCCCCATCAATGTACAAAATGATCAGAAATTCTGGGGTTTCAGTCAGAAGCTTATTTAGA